TTTTTTTTTTTTTTTTTTTCCATCAGAACACGCTGAAAACTACTCTGGTTCATGTTGTGAACTCCTCCATCTGTTTCCCGTGTTCTTTTGTTTAGACTGGAAGCCCTTTATTGTTTTATCTTGCAGCTATCCTAGCAGATTTCAGTTGCTTCCTAGGCTTTCCTGAATATTAAGTGACTGCTGCACACAAAGTCAATAAACTCCATACTGCCCTATGAAATTCTTCTTCCACTGCTGGAAAATGCCTGTTGTCTCCAGGATTTGGGAATGTGGAAAGAGCTTAAAGCACACAGTGACCTGTAGCCATGCCAGCTCTGCTGGAGCCGAGGGTCCTAGATTATTGTTGCTAGCTATCTACAGTTGCCCTTGGCTCATTTTCACAAAAAACTAGCCTGCTCTATCTGATTTCCCAGCTGCAGAGGATACATTTGTTAATATTTTTTGCTTAGCCAAGCAATTATCTTGCTTAAGGTCAGGCAGGGATTTTCAGATGCCAGGAAAGCCCATTTCATTATATGTGTTTGTTCTGTAGAAGGACTTTTGCTTTCTTTTCAAAGTGAATCTTTTATGCTGCTGTTAACTGAGCATTCACACAGAGCTCTGTTGAGAGAACAGTAGGTTTGGCTAAGGATTGGTCTCACACCCATTAAAGTCAATGACAAAATTCCAGGATCTTCCATGCTGGCACAGTTTGCCTGGAGGAGGTGCAGTTTGATAGACTTCAAGGTGTTTGTATGAACAGAACATGCAAAGTCAAAACTTGAAGTGAAAATATCTGACAGTGTGTTGATCCTATAGCATTCCAGTTTTAACACAAGGGAGATCCATACAGTGATATGATGACTCTGCATTTATTCAGACCAACCATGCTAGAAATACAAAGAGGTGTCTTTATTGAAAGATAAAACACCTTTAGTTGCTTTAAATGCAAGAAACACAGCTGCTAAGTCATAAAGTGGATGTTCAAGGAGATTGTTGGATATTTTACTATCTCCTATTAAATCTCTTTCTGATTGAGTATGTAATTTAGGCAATTTGGACATCTAAGCTGCTGATAGAAGCAATTAAATGCCAATAGCCCAATTTTAAGTTTTATTTAGGTTCCTAATTTAGATGCACTTCAGTTCTTCAATTTTTATCATAAGCTTTAGATATTTAAGTAACTTAATTTTACCCACAAATGTTGCTGCAGGTTTGTCCATGAAGAAATGTAGATTTCTGGAAAAAATCTATTATTTCTTCTATTTTTCATACTCGAAAATGGACAGAGGAGGTACAGCTTTATTTTCACTTTCCAAATTTTCTTTTGTGGTGCAAACGTCTATAGAGACGACTGTAACTGTCTGGTCACTGGGATAGAGCCTGAATCAAAGTGTATATTCACGTATCAACTGCAGGAGTGCAGTTGTGATTATGTGCTTTCTGAATCATTCTGGTTTTGCAATCAGTAAATGAAAAGTAAATATCCTAAACCACTTGTAAAACTATTGTAGGGCTTAAAACAGAAGTCAGACAACTATAACAAGTACATTTTTTTTACTACTGCAGTGGGGACACTTAGGAGATTTGGATAAATTTCAGACCTCGTTACTGGGGACTGGTTAGTGAGTGTATGTCCACCTGGGGTGACCAGGCAATGCTGACAAGAATGTTAGAGGGAGCAGCTGCACAGTATGGATCACATTGCACTGTCAAGTGAAGTGTAATCACTTTCCTCTGCGTGTTCTGCAGGGAAGACTGTCCTGCTCTTCCCTATTCTTTTAATTTGTAGGTTCTGTTTTCATATTGAATGAAGATTTGGTGAGGTGATACAGTGACACAATGACTGAGACAAATACCCCCTCCTGGACTAAGCATGTGCATTAATGCTTTATTGAATTTGACTGTGTCATAATCAGCATGTCTTCACATTGATTACATCCCTCCTGTGCTCTCTAATAATAATTCTGGTGCTTTATTCTCAGAACCTCTCAATTTCCTGAAGATTCCATTCTTTCCATTTTAGATGGCTTGACAGACTGTGTAGACCCTGACTGTTGTCAGCAAAGCAATTGTTACTCAAGTCCTCTCTGCCAGGGTTCGCCTGATCCCCTTGACCTTATTCAGCACAGTCAGCCACCTTTCTCTCAGCATCCTCCAAGGCTTTTTTATGATCGAATCAGATTCCTTATTGGGAAGGAAAGCACTCATGTAATCCCAGGAGATGTCTCCTTTGAGAGCAGGTGAGTCTTCTTTTAAATGAAAGACTTTTCTGAATATTGAGAACTGCAATTGAATTATTTAACCATGAAAAAATGGGGATACCTAAGAATTCTTCACCAGTGTTCATAAAATACTTAAGAGGATAGAAAACTTTAAAGTCCCAACAGCTGAGGATCTTGCTTATCAGATTGTTGTTGCTACTTGTCTGATTGGTGGAAGTGTCCCAGCAACAAACTCTACCATTCCTAATAACAAGACTGACTGTCGTGGAAGGTAAGTTGTCTCATACTTGTAAAAACAGCAGGGGAATTCAGCCCTTCACACTGTACTTACATAATGGCAGGATGCAGGACAAGTTGGGTTCACCTCTGCTGTCTTCAGTCACCTTTCTGCCCAGTACAATTTGATTGGTATTTACTGTGTAATGAATTTAATATGTACCACTTACACATAATTTACTCATGCATTTAAAAACTTCCTTGGTTTTGCTACACCTTGATAAAGAAGTGTGGAGTTTACTGTTTTGTGCTGCAGGTTATCATGCAGAGAGTAGAGTGATCCCCGAGTGTTTCTGAGATTGGCTTTGCCCTTTAACAGGAAGGAACTGTGCAGTAGAAAAAGGGCACTTACTTGCTCAGAAAACCTGGTAACACATATTTTCTTGAACATTTGGAATAGAGGGACACGTAAGTTTTTATGCTGCAGTTCAATTGGGAAGCTATAACTTACATGCTGACAAAGAGATCCACAAATCATCCACATCACCTGACTATTACCTTGTCAACTAGGCCTATGCATTAAATAAACCATGTTCCAGTAACAAGCGCATAAGAATTTTTTATTTTCACAGTACATAACACTTAGATTACAACCTCAACACAATCCTGCACACGAATTCAGTGCACTTTTTTTTTCAGCATTAATTTTTAATAAAGTAAATTTGTAAACAACCACTATTGATCTGAAATACAACATTTAATCACTATTAATAATGTAACAGGATGTTATAAATATGTAGAACAATTGGCCATGAAGATGAATTCCATGAGAAGCACCCACCTGCCACTGGTGGGTCTCTTGGAGTGTTGCACTTATAAATGAGGTCAGTGTTCTTGGGGCAGGGTCCTTGGCTGGCTCTGTGTGCAGTTTAAACCAAAATTCACCACTGAAAAATTTTCCTCATTAAAATGCCTCACAGTGAGGAGTTTCCAGAGAGGAGGTGAATGCTCAAGTTGCCTGTACAGTGTTCTGTGGCGCTGCAAATGTTAGCAGCCAGATTGCACATAATCCCATCAATGTGCTTTTATAGATATAAGGAATTGATCTTTTAAAGCTATCATTGATGGGATTTAACTTGGATTTAAAAGCTTTTTCTGAGTATTTCGTTTCTTTACCCTGATACCTGCCATGCCTTTGAAGACTAAAGAGCAGCGAAGTTCTGTGTGGGAGCAGCAGCCCAACCTCCCCATGGCTTCTTGCCACTGAGGAGTAGGACTTTACTGGCATTGGTGTATCACTAACACCCCATATATCATTTCCTCACATTGTAGACAAATTCATAGTTAGTTTGGTGAGAAAATCATTGGGGTTCAGATGAGGGTGGCTGCATCTTTAGAGTCAGGGCAGTGCCTGGAGACTCATGCTGTGCCGTGTCTCCAGGGGTTTGTCAACAGTAATCTGCAATGTACTGGGCAGCCCAAAGGGTTCCTCAGTCCACACTTTGCTTCATTCTTGAGTCTTCCAGGCTGTTGAAATATTGTTCATCCATAAGTCAAATGTTATTAAAAAGTGCCAGAATTTCACTCAAGGATGAGAGATAAGCAGGGTCTCTGAAAGAGGCAATAGATAAACTGTGCTGCCTCTGACATCGCCAATCTGACTGTCATCTTGTGTTGGTTCTTCTCCTGGGAATTAAGATTACTGAAAAAAATACAGAAAGACAACTGCTGCTACAGTAAAAAACATCAGAAGTCTGTGATCCAGCCTATCTGCTAAAGACCAAAGAATGCTTGGGGAGTTTTAATCTCCTTTGGGCTGTTGCTGAAAAGGTTGTGTCTAGGCAGATGATATTAACTCATGGCTGCCTGTAATGCTGCTGATTTTATAGCATTGGTGGTTAAAAATGAAATGTCAGAAGGATTGGATGTAATAGTGGCATGCATTTATTTCAGAGCACTGGCTTCCACTCCCACTGGTGCTCCAATTTTGCAAAGCCCTATCTGCCTCTTTTTTTTTTAATTTCCCTTTACAAGATATCTCTGAGACCATTAGGAGGATTAAGGAAGAGACATCTATCCAAGGTTTTCAGTCTTCTGATTCAAATGACATTGTGCAGTGTTTTACTATACCACAGGTCAGTGGAATTCTAGTTTGGGTGATGTTTGCATGAATCTCACTGGAGACAAAATTATGTTGATTATATCTTGGAAAGCTATCAAAAATGGTGAAGATTATCTCTGTCCTTCATACTGGAACTATTTGGTCTCTGCCATATCCTGGAATTTTCCAAATAATCTGACATAGTAAAACTAGTTGTTCTGACAGCTGCTGAGACATCTATCCCTCTGCATTTGCATCTTGGACTTTAGCTTAGGTCTAATATTTAAACATTTGGCTTATACAGTACAGTCAGGATGTTGCATGAGCCATTGCTAAATACCACACCAAAAATATTGTTAAGGGGCTACATGTTTGCAAAAAAATTTACTTTTTATTATGTCAAAACTACGTCATATGCCAATGTCATATGTCATTGTCATTTTTACAAACTCCCACTTAAATTGTGACATGGCAAAAGGCAGCTTAGAGACATTCTGGATAAATGGAAATGTGCTTGCTTACATCAGGCATGGTTTTAACCTACTATGTGTAGTAGAGTATAGCAGATTATTATGGTTTTGTCAGCTTCTGTTCTCAGGAAAGTTTTTAGCTTGTTTCTTTGCTGAGGTTTTTTTGTAATGCATGCTGCTGGCAAGCTATTTGGCTCACTGCAAATTGCCCACGAAAGGGTCCACTGTATGGTACTGAATTAATTACCCTTCAAATGTTGCTTACAGCAACGTTGTCAGCAGGAAGAAATGAATGTACCTCACTAGCCTTCAGCTTAATTTCTCTCATTGAAGATTTTAATCAGAAATGTAATACAGTAAATGACATCTTCTGGTAATGTGACACTTGTAAATTCACAAGCTGCTTGACAGAGTTCCATATCTGAGCCTAATGTCTCAGCCTGAGGTGCATATTGGAAACTTAACATGCAAAACAAAAGCAAAAAAATAGCAGGTAGGTAGCAGAAGAGCAAGGCAGAATGGTGGTAAAATAATGAAATGCTTTACAAGTACTAAAAGAATACATCAAAAGTTTAAACTTCCATTCGTATTTTAAATTAGAGATGTCAAACAAACTTCCTGACAGCAGAGACCTGAGATGCACAGAGTAGTGAGTTCCTCAGTTACTTGTGGAATGACCCATGAAGCGTTGACAGAGGAGTCCTACTTATTTTAGGCCACCTGCAACCCGTGGGAATCTCAGCTTTCTTTCAAAAAGCCAACTGCTCCCTCTGGAGTTGCAGATTTAGTACAGCTTGCCAGGGGAATGAGAACATTTTTAATGCATTTGAAAACACTAAGGCTATGTTCCTGCCCAGCTTCACCAAATTAGAGAAGACATTTTTGCACTTACTTTCAAGTCAAAACAGCTTGGAAAGCCTTAGGTCTGAAGTTATGCAATCATCACAAATAGGTGGCTGTTGGACAGATAGTACAAGTTATCCCCCATGAGAAAGCAAAACAGGGTAGTCACAAGAGTGTGGAATAAGTCTTAGAGGCAGAAGGTACAGTGCATTGAGGAGACATCATGATCTTTAGAGGTTTCTTTGCTCAAATGAAGAGAAGCAGTGAGTGGTAGCAAGGCCTCCAGCTCATCTGGGAGAGGATGAATGTGGAAGCACGGAAGCGTGAAGTGGCTGTTGGCTGTGAAGGGACATCTCTGCAGGGAACATGCTCTAAAAGCTCTGGTAAGGGAAGGAATTAAGTGAGGTGTTCTCTAAGCAGCAGAGCTGCAGAGAACCTGTGTCCAGCATGCCTGAGGACATGGGGTCTGCTCTGTGAGCTGCCAGGGCACTGGGAAACAAGGGAGAGCTGGCTGCAAGCTGGGGCTCTTGGTTACTCCTGAGCCTTGGAGACTCGTGCTGGTCATAAAGTAACTCAAAAATGTTTTCATAGCTGCAGTAAATGCCAGAATTAAAGCTAATTCTGATCAAATCTTAGTCAAAGATTTAGGAGGTTCTGGTTACTCAAAAAGAGGCCAGAGAAGACTCTTCAACTTAGAGCAGGTGATAAAGAGACATTAAATAGTTGGGACAAATGTAGGAACACAGAGGCAGGCTTAGGACATTTAAAATCTAAGAGATTACAAAGACAATTCAGTACAGATAAATATAGATTAATGAGGTTTTTGTGTCTTTATCGCATACCATAATGGCTTGTAAAATATGAAGACTAAAAAAGGACAATGTTGAAAGATAAGTTTCTTAAAATTATTTATAAATAATAGGAAGTAAAGAGAATTAATAAAGGAAAAAAAGGCCATGGATGAAATAATGGAGATTTTGATGAGCTGTTATCATACTGTGTGCTTGAAAAAATATGAGGACAGAGGCAGAAGACAAGTCTGTGTGGAATGAACAGGAGTGCAAGAACAATGCACTGAATAATGGTTACTCCCAGGGTTTCACACTCACACCAGTGTGTGTTGTAAATATGTGGAGTGCACTAATAAAGGTGTTAGAAAAGAAAACGCACATCTGTTGATGTTAGAAGTATGGGAAAATAATAGAAACAAGTATTTTCTACTCTAACAAATCAAAGAGTAGTTGGACCTGACTGTTCTGTTGAGTGAGTCTTGTGAGTCTGTTGAGACAAACAGGAGCTCAATTGCCTTCAGTGGAGCAGCAGATTTTGGGGCACAAATAGGGCCACAACCAATTACTTCATGGACAAAACAAAACAGGTGATAAATCAGAACTCTTGTTTTGCACACTGGCAGTAATACAGCATCTCCTGTTCCTCTAGGATTTATCAGCATCTTTCCATGGCCTAGGAGCATGGAATTCCCATTAGCAACTATGGTGAATGGTGTACTCACAAAAAGGTTAATTTGCATTTTCTCAAGTCATAGTCAGATGGGTTTGATGATATCACGGTGATAAATCAGTGCCTTGTAAGTGGCTTGGGAGAATGGGATCTTAAGAGGCATGTCAAAAATTTAAGAAATTTATATTCTCCAATTTCTGCATATGATTTCATTGGATCATGGTCAATTAATCTGTCTAGGGATATTTTTTTAATTCAATTTAATTCATATGTAGACTCCTAAATAACCTTTGTCTGAGGAGCTATTCAGTTTTTTTATTTACATCACATATTGACTGTGAGTAGATGTGTCTGTTGAGGTTTGCCACAAATTTTCAAATTGAGAAAGAAACATAACAATGTCTAAATTTATGCTTGTCATTTATATTGAGTAATTAATGCCAGTTCACTTTATAAGTATTCTATTGGTTTTTACCCTAAATGTCTTAATGTTACCAAAAGACTTCTGCATACACTGTTCATTTCATTACCTCAAACTGCAGTTCCAGGAAACAGATGCAGTAGTATCGTGAGCTTCCAAGCCCTGTGTTGGTTCAGCCAGTGCAGGTATATTGATGTGGTGTAGCTGACAGCCTGGGGCAAAAATACTGGGAGGAATTTCAGTGGAATGTAGCTGTGTAAACCCTTGGAAAATCCCACTAGGTCCTAATCTACACCATAAGGATATTTTACATCTTACTCCTCATCCTTAGGAGACCTGATTCCTTTATGTTTCATTATTCACATAGATAAAAGGCTAAAGCTAAGAAAAAGAGTAATTTCTTCACTATTTCTGTGACTAAGGTGTAAGCAATGGCCTGAAAGGACAACAGTGGAGGTTCAAATTGGACAATAAGAAGAACTTGCCATGAGCAGAGCACTCATACAGAGGCACTGGAATGGGTTACTTGGTGAGCTTATAGAGTTAGACAAGCATCTGTCTGGACTGATGTAGGCATAGTTGATCTAACCCGAGGCAAAGGAATGCACAAGATAAAGTCTTGTAGTCTTTCCTTTCAGCTCTCATTTTCTATGATTCTGTGATCCTGTTAGCCTCCGTTTAGACGCACTTAGTAATGAGTTCACTTTCCTGTCCATTGACTTTGATGTGTTCTGCTGTGCAGACATGTTCCAACTTCTTCACTGGAATGTGAGGATAAACTGGAAAGTGGGTGCAAGTACAGTGCATCCCAGAGGGAATTTAGAAGGGCATCACATGTGGTGGGGGATTGAGAAAAATGTATGTTACACTTGATTAGGCACCCTGTGAATTTACCTATATAATTTTGAAGTTCGGTGGAGCCCGTATGTCTCACTGCTGCCTTATCACATTAGTTCAGCTTTTTTCTAATAGACAGCAATGTCCTATACCTAGCAGCAGAGAATGTGGTTTCTTGCTCTCACAAGCCATCACTCCCTAGGGCTGCAGCAAGCTAAATCCCACTATCAGTGAAACCTTTGCAGTATCATTCAGTGGCAGAACAAACAGTACCCTAGAATATGTCAGGAAACGGGAATATATTCTCCCTATACCAACGGTTTATGGGAGAGTCTGTGTGTTGTCCTTTTTCAAATCAATCTTTTACACCTGTATGACTTCTCTTCCGAAAGTCAGTAGTCACTCTCATACCAGAGAGGTTCTGTCTGTCTAGGACCAAAGCACAGCCCAGTTTCTGAAATCAATGCCCTTCTTACCTTCCTTATGTTTGTAACATGTTATCTACTCTGCTTATTACAGACGGGCATGTGTCATCCGAGGCCAGGTTGTAGCAATCGATGGAACACCTTTGGTTGGAGTGAACGTCAGTTTCCTGCACCACAATGAGTATGGATACACCATCAGTCGACAGGATGGAAGGTCAGGCTTTCATATATGATCCTCCACTGGTTTAGGTTTGTGTAGTTAAGGCCATCTGCCAACTTCTGTTCATGTACAAAATTTTCATAGACATCACAGTTCACAGTGTGGCTTGAGGATGACATCTGGCCTTCTGGTCTGGGGGCACAGTTAATTGGAGCTCTCTGTAGCAAAAAGACAAAACAAAAGAAAGAGAAGAAATAAACCTGAACTGCAACAAAATTACAGTGACATTCAAACTCCTGGAGTCAAAGTGTGCCAGGTCTGCTGTAACAGTACCTTCTTGACCTTGGAATATTATCACAAGTCAGGTTTTCCAGGAAATATCTTCCCGCATTTTTTTGTTGTTGTTAAGTGTGAATCATCCACCCACTTTATTGAGGTGTCAATGAAGTGAAATCTTTTAGCTGACCACCTGAGACACACAGGAAGGAAAACTGGGAACAAGAGTCTTTTCAAAGACAAATGGTTAAATTGCTGTTCCATAACCAGCCCTGGCTTCCTCTTCTTCACCAGCCTTGCAGGTCTGAGTTCATTTCTCAATGACAGGTGAGATTTCAATATATTCTATATTGCACTCCAGGGTTGGCCATCCATTTGCAATAGGGTCATGACTTGCTCCTGAACTTCAATTAAGCTGTTAAGAGCAGTTCGAGACTTCATCTTCCTTGGATGGATTGTGAATTACAGAAATCTGAAGCTGTCTTCCAGCAGGGAAAAAGGGGTGCAATTTGTCACTGTTTCCACAACTATGTTTTTTGTTTGGCTTTGCCAATTTATAAAAGTAAAGAGTGTGCATATTTATTTCACCTTAGTTTATTGACTTTCAAATCACACTACTGAAAGTTAGTAATTATCATTTCCTCCTTACGCTAGCCTGGATAAAGTTGTTGCGTTAAAATATGCTACCTGTATTTTGCTGTGAATGTAATCGGTGTCATTTGGGAAATGTGATGAGATATGCATAATTAAGTCTGACTTCTTATCACAGTTTGTTACCATCAAAAACCTCCATAATAGATGCACTCAGTAATAAAGAGTGAAGTAGCTATTTACATATTACCTTGTGTTGCCTGACTGTGGATGTCAGAAATTCTGAAACTGAGACTGTACATCATGCCTTCTATGTCCCACTGTTCTGCAGCCCAGATGTGCCAAAGGTTCTTCGCAGTAGCTCCCAGAGGATCATCCTACTTGTGTTCAAGAGCTGACTCAGTTCTCAGTGCAATTAATCACCATCTTTCCCAAAAATTTCCTATCCTCTACAGGGAAGTGATATGCTCAGTGTACTTACTCAACCTTTTCCTCCTGGTGCTTTTAGAAAAAGGGAAAAGGTTATGTTAATAGAGCTAAGGCCTAACAGGCTTTAAGCCTTTTTATTCTGCATGCTCTTCATGCATAGATGATGAGTGGCATCCTTTTTCTGGGATAGGAATTTTTTTCATATAAACCAAAGCAAGTGGGTGCACACTTCTATTAGTATTAATGCTAGTTGATAGAGGGGAGAGAGGCCCAGTAACAGAGAAATTCTGTGCCTTGGTGTTGATGCATACAGGGAGAAAGCACACAGAGGTAAAGCTTCTTTGTGGATACCAAGGTGATGCAAAGACTGTATGCTTGAATGATTTCCATACTAAATTAAAAGCTGTAATAATGAACATAAAGTTTTTGTTTGTGATGCATTGAAAGATGTGGTAATGTGATGAAAAAAACAAAAATAAACAAAACAGTTTGTTTTCTCTTTTCCAGTTTTGACCTTGTGGCTGTTGGAGGAATCTCTGTCACTCTAGTTTTTGACAGATCTCCTTTTATATCTGAAAAAAGAACACTTTGGTTGCCTTGGAATAGATTTATCATTGTAGACAAAGTTGTAATGCAAAGAACAGCGTTGGATACACCATCTTGTGACATCAGTAGTTTTATCAGTCCAAATCCAATTGTACTTCCTTCCCCACTGACAGCATTTGGAGGTTCCTGTCCTGAAAGAGGAACCGTTATTCCAGAATTACAGGTAATGAAAACACTTTTAAATTAACAGTTTGTTCTCCTTGCAGAACCAGGTTTAGACAATCTTCAAAGGTAGTTAGTAAATAACTGCTGTAATGTCATTCACTTGGCAGAATAACACCAAGGCATGTTTATTTAGTACTGTTTAACAAGATTCTGTTGTCTTTATTCTTTCCTTACTTTTTAATATTTAAAGGTGCTTTATTTCTTACCTTCAAGTAGAAGGAAGTGGGGAATGCCAACATGAATTATTATTGAAACCGTGATTTGTTGATAATGATGCACAAAACCATTTCTAGCTACAGATGAACAGTACAACTTCCCAAGCATCAGTGTGAGACATGATGCTTTGAGCATTACTAGGGGTGTTTCATCCATTCAAAGCTTTATGTCAGATTCTTGGGTTTTATTACTTTCTTTCCACAGTAGAGCAATTTCAACATGATCTTTAGGACTTGTTTTTTAATTTAAATTGGTTTTTTTTCTCCCTGAAGTGTTTGAAGTAATTTCTAATTAATCTTGTAATTAACTGTTGTTTTACTTGGGACTTAAAAGAGGTTGTGAGAGTCGAACACACAACAAAACACAGCTTGGGTCATACCAGTGCCCTTATTTTTAGTATGTTGTTTGATAAGTTAGATTTTAAAGAATAAGACCACTTTTGGATTCTCTTTTAATTTCACCAAGAAAGCCTGGAAGATACTTGGGAGGGTACCTGTAGCCTTATAAAAGTGTTGCTACTTTATTCTACATGTGAGAGACCTCTGCTTGAACTGAATTATATCTAAACACGTCCATAACTATTATCATGTTTCATCCAATTGATGGTTAGAGCATTGCTTCACAGAATGTAATATGTGAAACTAATGAACATAAATTAAGAATAACTGCTGCACACCAGTAAAAAAATGACTGGTTCACAGTGCTCCACATGAGGTATGCCTAGGTGGTCTTTGAACATCAGGGTACTCAAAGATGCAGTCTAGTACTCAGAAACCACTCCCAAATTCTTTCCTTTTTTTTTTTTTTTTTTTGGCATTGGAGGTTTCTTAGACTGTTGAGTTTCATTGTATGGTTCTGGGAATTGAGCAAAAATTAACTGAGAATAATAGGAGAAAAAGTTATATTAGCATGTATTAATGCATGAATATTTCTTCCTGCTTTTCTATTAAAAAATGAAAAGGAATGTCAGATGTATAACAGAGAGGACAGCTGGGATGTCAGCAGGAAAGAAGGGGAACACTGCAAATCAGGAACAATAAAAGGAGCAGGATTTCCCTGGCAGCACTACATTTCGTATGTTGAAATGACAAGTGCTGGCAGGCCTCCAGCTGTACTGCAGCAATGCTCTGACAGTGATACTGTTGCAGTGTGTAAATAAAATTGGTTGAACGTGAAGTAATCTATTGTTAAATAAGGAAAATTTAAAAACTGGAAAATATAAACAAAACAGTTTGTCTTTTTCCAAGCATGATGAATTTAACATTGTGACAGGTCGATTCATTAGTACAGAAATGCACTAATATCATTAATCTTGTTAACCACAGTCTAGTTTTCAGGTGGCTTTTGAGTGACTGGTAGCATCCTCCAAGGAGTCAGTCTTGTCTCTTGCCCACTCTTCCTCACAGTCTGTCCCAGAACAGCTCTTTTATCCCAGGAGCTAAATCCCTTTTTGTTGCTCCAAGCCCCACATGATTCAAAAGGTCAAGGCCAAATTTCTTTTTTCCCCTGACAAGCTCAGAGCCTTTGCAGTTCTTCCAGTTGCTGAGGGCCCATCTCCATTGCAGTGGGAATTGATTGAACTCTCCTCACAGTGGGCATATCCAAGCTTGCTTTAATCCAAGTGGTTCAGACAGCAGCTCTGACAGCAGGGCCCTGGGATTTGAGTTCATTGCACTCCCTGGGGACTTACCTGTGAGCAAGATGACTCTGATGCTCAGGCTGTTTCATCCTCACTGCTTTGTGTCCCCAGTTAGCTTGCTAGGTTCCTAATGCTGCTCCTTTGTACACCATGACCCTTCTTGCTGGAGCTTGGCCTAGCTCCAAAATGGTTTAGCAGGAAAGTCTTTCTCCATTCTTAACACTCCCCAAGTTAAAGTTACTGTCTCCAAATCAGGATAGTATCTTAACTTCACAATGTACACGATAGAAGGTGTATGTATATTTTAAAAAAATTTAATTATACTCCAGCTAAGAGCACTTGGTAAGTAAACCAAGTAATAAAGACAAGGTAAAGCTGTACAGCTTGTATGTAAGAATATGTGCACAGATGCAGAATTTGCTTCTCAGTAGATACCAGTAAAGCATCAGAAGAAGAGGCTGTTTATCAGACAGACAGCCTGCCATCCAGTAAGTTGACCAAGCAGTATCTGATGTTGGACATTTTGTCATGTGCCTGACTACTGCATTTCTGAAATAAACCAGTTGTTTCAGTGGTGCTGTGTTCACATCATAATTGTGAAAGGTAAAATAATTACCTGCCCTCACTATTATAATTTTGCATTTTTCTTGGCTATAGATATAACAATGTGTTTATTTCCAAGGTGGTCCAAGAGGAAATCGCAATTCCTTCAAGTTTTGTGAAGCTGAGTTATCTCAGTAGTCGGACACCAGGGTATAAAACTTTGCTGCGCATTATTTTGACACACACAACCATCCCTTCTGGAATGGCAAAAGTCCATCTCATAGTTGCTGTTGAAGGACGTCTGCTTCAGAAATGGTTTCCTGCTGCAGCCAATTTGGTGTATACATTTGCCTGGAATAAGACAGATATATATGGACAGAAGGTTTCTGGTCTGGCTGAGGCAATGGGTATGTAGAATCATCTTGATGTAAGCAGAAGCATTCACATACATCAAGCCAGGAAAATATGGCAAATAATTTTTGTTGCTGCTCCTACATTCTTTTAAATCAAATGCCTCTTTAGCTAAAGTCACTGAAGTGACTTGTATGATCTCCCAAAAACATTTATTTTCTTGTTCTTCCAATGTCATCTTTCTAATTTAATCAATTTGAAAATTCCCTTTTCCCTCAGAGAATGGTTGTGTACTAACAGCATTATATTCAGCTGTCTCTGTTTTTGAATGTTACTTTGAATATGACCTTTGGTGTGTCATTGTTTCTGTCATTTTTTGGCTGTGACATTTAAAATGTCATTTCCGCTTAGGGTTTGCAAAATTCTGACTTTTGGGCATCCTTTCTTACTACATTTCATGTCTCTTAATAGTTAAAACTAATTGATTTGTTGTTTAAAGATGTTTATCCAAAAATCATTGTGTCTCATAGGCTTTGTTCAGCAAGCAGCACAGGCCATTATGAGAATTGCTACAGAAGTGCTGTCTGTGCAAATACATTTTATTTAGCCAGCATTTTTTTCATTAATTTAATTATTTGGGTTTTTTTAAGGGCTTTCTATTTTTTAATTTAATTTGATGTTATCTTGTTCAATGGACCAATAGATGCTTTGTATTAGAATTACTTACTTTACAAGCAAAGCTTAGTATTGTGAATCACAACCCCATTCACTTCTGTAGCAGTTCTGTTTGCTTTTTATGTCAGGGCAAATATAACCAGAAGCACTGGGAGATCAGGCTGTAAGGCAAGAGTAGCAGGGGCGACAGAGCTGTGTTCCCTCACAAGGAATATGCTTCATTCCATGTATGAAAATGCTGTTCTGAGGGGCATCCAGGAGCTTCCTTCAGGATCTGTTGTGTTGTCCATGTAGGCAGAGTGCCTGCAGAGTGGCCTGTGCAGGGCCAAAAGGTGCCAGCCAGGCTCTGCAGCTCCCGGGGCCTCTGGTGCATGACGGTGTCACTGTGTGCACCAGACAGGTGGTCTGGGAGGCGGCTCTGGGGAGGCAATGGGGAAAAGGAGGATTGTAGCATTTTCCTCTTCATCTCTTCCCTGAGAGTACTGCAGGCATAGACAGACAGGGATGTCCGTGATGGGTTATGAGACCAAACTGTGGAATATGATTACACAATGCAATACACAAAGGACAAGGTCAGACAAAGCTTTTCCCAGAACTGTGTTCCTGCTGTCTCCTTGAACACACACAACATGGGCTGCTGCCTGCAGGGACATTCCCACGTTCTCTCCTTACCCATGGGCCTCCACTCACATGCATTTGATCATGAAATGAGCCAGATCAAGAGCAAATTCAGCTGAAAACCGAAGCAACCAAGGAATAAGCAATACATTTTTGGCTTCATTAGTTTCCTGATCTGCTATGAATGCTTATGCAGAAGCTCAGGTCTTCTCATTCCAGCTGTAGCTCACACATTGCATTGGCCTAAAGGAGTCCAACCTCCAACCTTGGGTGCAAGGTCTCCAGAACTGCTGCGTCTTCTCTCCTATCTGAAACTGATCTTCCAGTTCTGGCTCACATCTCCAGAATAGTGGGCAACTTTTTGCTGGGGTCAGTCAGGTGCTGGCACTGACACCAAGATTTTGAACATCCCGGTGTGGTGTGTGGCAAGGGGCAGCAGTGCCCTTCTCAGCTGCTTGAGATACAGGAGGCCCTGTGAGGGAGTAGATCCAGCCTTGACCCATTGCTGATGTTTGTTTGTTTTTTTCAGTGAGGGAAGGTATCAAGTGAGTTGTTGACACATATTTGTGCAGATCTAGAAATAATAAAATATTCCAGCTTGCCCTTTGGCACTCCCATGGATGATCAGGCAGGACCAGGTGCGTCACAGGTGCCACCTGGGGCTTTCCTCAGCTTGGCTATGTGTACCCTGTGTCCAGAGGCTGTCACTGTCTCATGTTTGAGAGGGAACAGTTGACTATGCTGCTCCCACTGCATCATTTAAGAGTCCTGTAATGATGATGAAGTCCAGTACATATCCAGACTTTAAAACATTTTAATTCAAATACATAGCATCTCGTTAAAGGATACTGTAGTTAGTTTTCCAAATTAGGAGCAGATGAGCTTCATGTGTTTAAATATGAATCAAGCTTACACAATAGCACTGGATAACAACATTTAAATAATTTAATTGTGCTTCATTTTTTTTGTTTTCCTTAAAAGTTTAGGTTAATTGTGCTTCTTTCAAAATAGGAGCAAAAATCTTGATATTTTAAGTGCATTACTAGCATGCTTTGTTAGATTCCAATAAAGCTTTATTTAAATTGACACACAGGTTACTCAGGGACCTTTATCTGCATCCATTATATGAATTTTTGTCAAAATAATTTCTTCTGCCAGTATATTACCAATATTTAATAATGCATTCTGTTCGGTATTCATTTTAATAAAATTAGATTGGAGCAGGTTGAAGTCCTGGAACTCAGGACTATAACCATCTGCTTTTGGTTTTCTAAATACTATAAACATCTATATTTTTCTTCAGGGTTATTGACAGGACTGATCACATAACCAGTTACAGAAAACAAGACTTTCTGAGCATATTTCCACATGCAAATGGTTCTGTTTAATCTTGTTGGAGAAATGTTTGCTGGCATGTGTCCAGTCCCCAAGCTCCTCACAAGAGGCCATTTTCTTGGAGTAACAGCTGAGATGACAAAGCAGCATTTTTTGTTCTGAATAAATCAGCATCATGTGGATGTTGACACAAAAGCTTGGTGGTAAAGTCTATGTCCCCTTGTAATCTAACACAAGAGAAGGATTTCAGTCAGTTACTCAATGAATGCTCCTGTGTAACTCCATACAGATTCCTGCAAGCCCCTACATCCCACACAGCAGCACTGAGGGGTCTGCAAGGATGGACCCTCTTGGGGGTGGGTGTAAACGAGCTCTCCAACAGCCCTACCTGGTGCTGTGGTTGATTGTTCAAAGAAAGTGGATGCAGATAAGTACAGATATTTCAGGGGAGGTTGAAATAGAGTTTACTGTCCTGGTTAATTGTGTCTTATATTTCTTATATGTTGTTTTTGGCAACAGCCCTTAAGCTGTATGTCTGGCACTGATTATTCTTCTCAATAGCTGCATGAAAAGAATTGGATTTTGATACAGATGGTCAATAGATCTTTTGAAATCTATTTTGAGACTGCAAGGAGCAGTACTTGCTGACTCTTAAAGTCTAAAACCATAGTCGCTAAAGTTCACGTTCATACAATGAAATCTTAGTCACCTCAAAAAAGTGCTAGAAATTAATTGGATCAGAAAGTAACACCCCACAATGAGGGTAAGCTGACAGATTTTAATTTCACTTACAAAATTACATTTCTCAAAACCTGCACCTAACAAGATACGATTATACCAGTATTATGCTTTGCCTTGATCACTTTGCATGCAAAATGACTGATGGGAAATTTTCATGAGTATAACACCAGGACTTTCAGTTAGATGAGAAACTCTGCTTTAAGATCACACAGATATTTCTTTTGGGAGCACAGAGCATAGGTGTTTTTGATAAATATGGGTAAATTTGCATAGAAACTTGGTTGTAGACACACATAAAGTGAGTGTCCATATGTCTCTTGTTGATGAGAGGGGACAAAAAGACGTCTATGCACAGTAACTGTGAGAGCAGGGAACAGTGAACTTCTAAGAAAGGGGATGATAACCTCTGGAGAGTATTTGGCAGCTCAGAAACATCACCTGTAGGCAGGGAATACTGAGGCTTTATAGACATAGCTCCAGCCCTGGTAAAGATGCGCCAGCAGATCCATGAGCATGGATTCCAGGTGCTGTAAATTGTTATGCCTCCCTTGCTCAGCTCTCAGCACGCTCCCTCCCAGCATCTGATACCTGTCCTGTGGGTCCCTAACAGGTCACTGAGCAAGGCTGGGGGGCTGTGTTAAAGGGCACACACAGCTGGCCCAGGATTGAACGCGTTAAATGCATGACTGGAGGAAAGATGTTAATGTGTAGGTGGGAAATCTGAGGTTGCTTCATAGGAAAAATCTGCCTTTTTTTCTTCTCTCTGCATTAACACCTAGAAAATAGTGTGCTCGGTTACTGAACCCTTCTGACTCATCCCAGCACAGGATGTGGCTGTTCTGGAAATTCTGTGCCCTTTCTTGGGCACTCAGCTCAGGGTGGTGCCCAGAAGCTTTGCTGGTGCTGGTTGTAAGAGCTCCTGTAACAGAAGAATTGCACAAAGTGGCTGCTGGACCCTCAAACTGAAACCTGTAATGTTTGAAACATACAGTATTTATAGTACTTAAGGAGATGTGGTTTTTACAAGTCAGAGTTTAGCTGCAAAAACAGGTTCTATCTGCTAAAATGGTGAAGCAGCTCTAGAGCTGTTACTGTAAGGAACAGCTTTCAGTTTGCCATAAAACATTTATCTTACAAACACAAATATTCCCTATTAGAGCTGATCAAAATATTTTGATTGTATACCATAATGGAATTTAGGTGGTATTTAAATTATGTATGGTTTAAGTGAAATATACCTAAAGCTGTTACATAGAAAAAGTGGAAAGAAACTATTAAAAATGTTTAATTTTTTTTAATTTTATATCTTAAAATATTTTTTTAAACATTGTTGAACTATTTCAATATTTCCTAGGTCACATTATGGAACTTGGTGTCAAAAATTATTGTTCCTTTATGAATGAGTTTCACTGAAATCTAGTAAACTTAGAGATAAATAATTTTTGGAAAGGTTGGTATATTAGAGATATCAAAAATTTTGAAGTTTCGTTTTGTTTTATGGAAGTACTAAAGAAAAAGGCTTTTTAATTAATTTGAGTTCCCAAGACCCACCATCCTTACGGAAATTCAAGGTATGTCATCAGATATTTTGGTAATGTGCAAGCCTGTTGAGATAAATGTGTAACTCTAGAAATGTTCAGCTTGTCAATCCATTTCTGCCTAATTATAATTTTTACAGTCAGCAAACAAATAAAAACCAATTTGTTTTAGCATGGATTCTTTTCTATTTACGCTGTTATTCAGGTAATTAGAAAAAATGCAATAAACAATCAAGTCAGGAGTCATTGGAAGAGATTTATAATCTTATTAAATCCATAACTGATACCACAGACAATCTTCTGCTTTGAAGCAGTAGTAACTATAGCTGTAATAACATACTAATCTCTTAAAACCCTTTTTTCAAAAAATACCATACAACAATAGCAATCAGGCAGAGGAAAATTAGTGGCATCATTACTTGACAGATGAATATCAAAACCTAGAATGAAAAACTGCCTAGCAGTTCACAGAGAAAAAGGTAGACTGAGAGATGTTTAATTATTTGTTTGCAGTGTCAGTGGGATATGAATATGAAACATGTCCTGATTTTATTCTGTGGGAGAAGAGAACTGTAATCCTTCAAGGCTTTGAAATGGATGCTTCAAATCTGGGTGGCTGGTCTATAAACAAACACCATGTATTAAATCCACAAAGTGGTAAGTCGCTCCTTTATTTACTGCCCACGTTGAAGGAGAATACAAATTTTAAAGGAATTAATTGTTCAGATTTTAAGTGTTACACTTCCTAATGTGTAATCCTCTGTGAATGTGCACCCTCATTTATTGAGAGCGGAACTGTAAATGCCATCTGAAAGAATATTTTTAATGTTCTGGCTCCTGGGGTTTAGACATGAATATCACCGACTCTTGCGATCGCTAACACATTGTGGTCATTCAAATGGGAAAAGGGCAAACTAATTTGGGTTCATTCTTACACAGCTGGTATAGAAGTGCCACATTTCGGGTCAGCCCGAAATGTGTGTTACATTCTCAGTGAAGTGTCTATGCCCCTAATTCATCCTATGACTGCCATCATTTTGTAGCACAACAGCCCCAGGCAGACAAACCCTGTGTGATCACAGACCAGTGATGATGATCACTTCCAAACCCACACTGCCAGTCCGGTGTGCAGCAGCTTTTATGGCTGCCCACTCTGTGGAGAAGCACAGTAAGTCACTCCTCAGTACAAGCAATCCAGCACATTTCGAAGCATTAGTAAAAAAACTGTAAATGCTTTTGATGTCATAGCATTAACCGGCAGAAATATTCTTCAAGCATAGAGGCTTGAATATTTTTTCCCCTTTGCATTTTCCCAATTTTATACCTGGGGGGTTTCTTTTCCTCCATGAACCTCTATGATCAGGAAGTAGTGGGACTAAATTATTAAAACAATACTTGTAGATAAATTATGGTAACTATATATGGTTTTGCCAATAAACAGATACCTCATTTGCCCAGAAGAGAAACTTGAAGTCAGATTTTAACACTTAGAAGTCAACAGAGTATTGGATTCAGTAAAGTTCTCTCAATTTGCTCCAGCTGAGAGTCAGTCCAATAAAATCTATTTCCATCTGCAAACTTCTGTTGATGAAGATTAATGCACAGATGTATGGCTCTCAAATTTTACAAGTTCTGTTGCTGAATGCACAGCTACAGTATAAATATTCCAAATACAAAAGGTCAGATTTAGTTTGTAAATTATTTGGATTTCTGTTTTGATATAAAATAGTTTGACATTTTAAACAGCAGTTCTTTCATTCCCTGTCTTATTTGTTTGTATAGATTGTCCATTTTAAATGCCAGCTATTGACATTTAACAAAGAGAAATCTGACCTCAGTCAGCTGAGCCCAAACTGTGAGTCCCATAGTCTGCTCCTTAGTGCCAATTTACCACTTGCATAGCTAATTTCAAGACTAAATTGCTGGCAGTAACTCCAATTTATACAGCTACCTGGTAACAGCAGTGGTTACTACTACAGTTCACCCCATAGGCACTAACATGTTCTGAGATTTTGTAAAGTACACAATTGTAATCCAAGCAGGGCTAAACCATTGCTCTCCTGAGCACAAGGTAAGTAGTGACAAATTGCTTCCTGTCTCCATCTCAGCTGTGTGGCTCAGAATGCCAGGGGGCACTGTCCTGTCAGCCTCAAGCCACCTCCTCTCAAATCGGCTGTACCATGCCCACTGCATCGATGGGGAATGTGCAGCTTCTCACACCTGCTCCTCTTCCTCACGTGTTCCTGCCGGACATGATCATGGCTGAAGTCAGGGAAAGCTGCCAAACATCTCTACCCATCACTTGAAGAGACACAGGAGGAAAAGAGAGAGCATAAACACATCTGATTTGAAATCCAGGGTCTCTTCTGTTTGCAGTTGGCATGTCAGAGCATCTCCAGCAAGGTGACAAAGCCCAGGCTCAGGGATGTGTCAGGGGTTTCTCAGGACTATTCCGGGCTTTGAGCACCCATAGCTGGCTCGTGTACAACTAGAAAAGCAGCTAAGGGCAGAAAAACAATTACTATAACAAAGCTGGTGCACACCTACCAGAGCAGCCTGTAGGTTCATATTAAAGCAACAAAACAAAATAATGACCAGTGGTAACCAAAAAGATAACAAGTATGCTTCTGGTCTTACCTAGAAACAAGTGAACTGCACTTCTATTCCAGATATGTAAAGTGGGCTTTAAATAAGAATAAGAATATGATTCAAACTAGAATTACATATTTCAGACTTAATCTCCATGCCACCATGACTGATATGAAAAGCACTAAGTAGCCTTCTTGACTATGAATATATTAAGATTTTTCACATTTAATTAAAGCATCTCCTCTGTATGTATGAAGAACTGCTCTTTTTAGAAGGATAAGACTTTTATGATTTTGAAACACTGCCACTGGATTAACTGCAGAAACATCATTGGAATATAACATTCTCTACTGCAAATTACAATTCTATTTTCAAACTAAAACTAGAAGCACTTTGCTTGATTTACTAGTCCTGAAGAGCTTATATCTAACTTCAGCCACTAAGCCTGGTCACCCAGCAGGTCTGCAACTGTGCAAAACATTCCTCATGCTCCGAGCCAGGGTAGATACTCTTCTTTCCCACCCTATGAAGGTTGCTCATTTTAGAGAGGTTACAAAATAAACTGAGAAGCAAGAAATAGATGCAGTTTTACGGACTTGCAATTCATAATAATGTGGAGGTACATGTATTGACATGCAGAAACCTTAGCAAGTGAAAACTGTGTTCTGCTGCCAGATGGATTTACAAAATGAAAAAAAAAATATGCTCGATTGCAGCAGAACTAATGTGAAATAACAAACATTGTTCCAATGTGGCTGTTGCTGGAAACTCAGGTTGTTTAAATGCATGCAGTTTTGCATCAGTCTGAGTGTTAGGTTAACAAAGGCTCACATCCTATTCTCAACTACACTCGACTGCTCTTTTCCCACTTTTTTTTCCTCACCAGTTTGGAGGTTTGATCATGTCTAATTTGTGACATGATTAGAGTTTAATGTGTTCTGGTACAAAGGTTTTTGTCAGTTTGGAAGATCATCAGGGCATTTCTCATAATCAAGAAGAGAACAGATACCATAAATATTAGTTCCTACACTGAGGTCTTTTAAAGACACCTGTATCTCATGAATACAAATGAATGTGCTATTAATCAATTTTTCAGGTTGTTATTTGAATTATTATTTTTTTTTCTGATGGGCAAGTGCACTGATTCCATTTTTATTTATCTGGGGCAAGGAGGAGTAGTTTTAGAGGGACTTTATGCTTTAAGGTAATTTCAACCCCAGTGCAACAGAGCATTAATCAACTAAATTTAAAGCAGCAGCTTGAAAGCCTGATATTAAGCACACACTTACATTTATTGACAGCAAAACATATTCTCCAGAGCCCTAATTATTTACTGGCATTTGTAAGAGGATGTTGAAAGATTACCTTAACATTGTAATTTCAGACAAAGGGCAGCATCTTCATTTCATAGTATTTTTCTCAACTGCATAAGAGAGAATATTGCCATTTATTTTACAGGCATATTTCCAGGATGCTTTTTTTTTTTTTAAGACATCATTCAGACAAATCTATACATTATGTCCTCTATTGTTCATAAATATTTATTTTTTTTAAATATAATTCCCTTCCAAATAGCTGTGGTAACATTCAGTAATTACCAAGGTGAATTTTATCTTCACATTTACCTGAAAGTCACAAAAAACATTTTAAACAAAAGTCCATAGAGTCAATACATAAATACATTTGCTCTACTTTGGGAAAACTCAGACATGTCTCAATGTGTACTTCCTGCAGTGTCTAGAATATTCTCATTTCCCAGCATGAGTCCTCCAGAAAGTAAATTCCCTTGTGTTTGTTCCTTTAATAGTGCCAATTTTCTGATGAAGTACTGGGCCCTTTCAAGGGAAATAAGAAAATTTGGACTAGGATCTAAAAGTGTACCTATCTTTTGTTTGCAGTAGCCAAATTCTTGCAATAACGTCATTTCAAAGATACTTTTTAAATATATTACCATATTGTTACTTAAATAAACACTATAGCTGTCAACTTGAGAAAATACATCATTGTACTAGTTCTGGTATCACCAACCTAGTTGAGACTTTGAATAATGTATGCTGAAGAGCATTACTAGAATACACTGTTTCAGCCTTTATGGCAGAAGGTAGGCTGTTACTGCTGGGAGGATGTTCACTGGTGCCTTGCAATTGCTCTTTGACTCTTAACTTGGTTTTGCTGCACTTGGCACCATTTTCATATACCATGAAGGACTCACAGTTGAATTTGAATATTGATTTTGTACTGCCACTCAGTGCTCTTTTGTGAAAAATGCATGGTGGTCCTGCTATTAATCTCCTTTAATTAAATATTCAAACTGCCTAAGAAATGCTTCTGCTACCTAATAAAAATTTATGAATAAAATTAATATTAAAGCAGTAATCCCCAAGAAATCAGATAGTACTGCAATTAGCAGTCAATTTGTTAGAGCATTAGCCAACGATGAGTTCTCCTCCTGATGTTGGCTTTAAAATAGCCGCTAGCCAGTGATGAACAAAATCATGACAGTGGAACTTGGAATGATCAAAATTGAAAAAGATTAGTGGAACGCTGTATCAGTCTAAAATATCAGATGGTTTTTGCTATTTTGGTAATCTGATTTTATAGAGGATATTGTAATCCAAAACTGCAGAATAGTTTAAATGTCATACATTTGCTTATTTCGTCTCTGTTTGCTTCCCTTCCCTTCCTTTAGGAATTGTGCACAAAGGAAATGGGGAAAACATGTTCATTTCCCAGCAGCCTCCAGTCATCTCCACTGTGATGGGCAATGGACACCAGAGGAGTGTCTCTTGCTCCAACTGCAATGGGCTCGCCCTCAACAGCAAACTCTTTGCCCCAGTTGCACTCGCTTCTGGGCCTGATGGAAGTGTCTATATTGGGGACTTCAATTATGTCAGACGGATCTTTCCCTCTGGAAATACGATTGGCATATTAGAATTAAGGTAAAAAAATAATTGGCTTTCTCTGAAGAGTGTGCATAATCCTGGCTGTGATATGCCTGTGAAAACTAGGGTGAGCTTTTACCCCTTGGGACTTGATGAAAAAACCGCATGTGGTTACTCTGTGGTCATGTGTGTCATCAACTATCAAACCAACTTACAGAAAACTTACAGTCATCAGTTTAATAGGATGTTTTAAGTGGCCTTTAGAACAGGCCTTGTATAATGAACTTCTGCAAATTGCAGAATTAATAAAGCTGATTTTTCTTTCTGTGATGTTTTCCATGTATTTTCTCCAAAAGTAAAATATACTATGATGCATATTTTTGAATATGCATATGCATAATTCCACAGCAAACATGCAGAGTATCATGTCAAGTTACAACACTGGGCCTATAGACTTACCATGTTTACAGTTAATACTATTGCACTGTTCCTTGTGCAGCAGAGAATGTGGCTCAGTTTAATCAGACAGGGGCATCACAGGTGTGTGAAAGGCTGAGCCTGTGCTGCCCTTAATGACTCCCCTGTTATTACCACCCCAACTTCCCATTCCCTTTGAGGGACACAGGGGAAGGCAGGAAAGATTTTGGACATTAATACATGAAATTTCTCTTATTTAACATCCACCTAGCTAACATGGCTGGTGATTATTCTGTGTTCAGAATTAACTTGGCAGTGTGTGGACATTGCAAAGGAAACAGTTTGAGAGAAAGAAATACCAAGCAAGAGGATAAACAATGTTTAATTAGTGGGATACAGGTCTATGAGCAGTCAGATAAAGAACACAGTTATGTTGAGGACTAACATCTCTTTTTCTTTCCTTCTAAACCTCAACTAATCTGCCTTTCCAGGAATAGAGACACAAGACACAGGTAAGTAAAACGTAATAACTGGTATGTGAACCACGTTTGAGGAGGCAGTCTTACAAAAGTCCTTTTAGAAGTCTGGATATAGAGAAACACTCTGAATTTAATAAATTTAAAGGGTAATAAATACAAATGTTAATCCAATTCACCTTTTCTTATAGTACAGAAAGTTTACAGATTTGTTCCCATTGAAGGAGTAAAGTCTCCCTCTAAAAATCAGTTTGCTGATCACCAAGAAGAGATGGAGAGTTTTAAACCTGAACACAGAGTACGTTTCATAGCTGTCATACCCATTTCACATGGTGTTTGACTGATCACAGATAAAGCCATCCAAGGAAACAGTAGTTTTACAAAAATACAGTTTAAAAGGCTACAGAAACACATTGTACTTTAGTGCTTTAGAGGTTCCAGGATACCATGGGCTTTAAAACCTGCCAGTTATAGAGTGCACGGCAGAGCCCAGAACTGGAGATGCTGTGTCAAAGCTCATTTCTTGCTGCTCCTGGTAAAGACAAAGCAAGTGGCTTTTCCCCTTTCCAGCTGGCATTTTAGCATTGCAATTTAGAGTTCTTTAAAGGAATGAACATTGCACATTAGGCTTCTGTGACAGATGCTGAGGGAATTGGCTCCAACAATCCAGCTGCAGAAGTGATGTTGCATGCTAGAGAGAGACAGCAAGGCACTCTGTCTCCTTAGAAATAAACTTCTTAGCGTTCCAGTACTTAAATGAGATAAATAAACTGGCACTAGTACAAGATAAGATAGTAACTTCATGGCATAGTAGGGAGCAGAGTGAACTGTGTTTACAGCATGAGGGTATGGGTTGGAATTGCTCACTTTTGTCACAGGACTGCTATTGAATATTATAAATTATTTACCAGATTATGTCACATCTCATATATTTTACAATTAAAACTTAAAAAGGAAGAAAAATTCCTAGTTGGTAAGTGCAAGGTTCTATTTTCTAACGGAAGGGGTGTTTCCACATCCTTTAAACTGACCAGTATCTTTTTAAACTAAATTTCTCTATAATGCATTTAAAACATAAAACAACTTTTACACTTAGAGGTTTCTTTTGTAAAGTAGATTTTTTTCTTTTTAATACCTGTTCCCTAGTACTAGTTTCTTGAGATGAGCTTCAACCTTGAAGTTGACAATATTCAAGTACCCCAGCCCAATTATTTTCAATAATAATGTCTCTGTCACTATTCTGTCCAAATGAATTTTGTAGAAAATTGGAGGAAATCAGTTAATGTAGTCCTTGAGGTGATATGAGAGTAGTCAACAATCCCACTGTGTGCCATTCTCTTGAGGCTTTAAAGGTCATAGTCATGGTGGAAATTTATAGAATGAATGCTCAAAGAAAGCAGCAGGTAATAGATGGCTCCAGACAGTCCAGGTAGGAAACGGCTTCAAAATCCAGCTCCTCTACACAACTTTTAGCCACCAAAAGAGTTCTTTTTACCACATAAAAATGACAATACTGTGTAAAAAGGGAGAGTTTGGCAACCAGTAAACAGAAAAAGCCACTGATCTTGTTTTTGACTGTTTACAAACACCTTATCCCATTTGTTTTTCTCATCATCATAGTTTTAATAAGCTATAGCAAAGCTGTTTAACTGGTAAAAATGGGAACTAAACTTCGAGAAAAATACAAAGAAAAATTTAGTACAGAATAGTACTGAAAAGATTAATTTTAAAATCTAGTCTATTTCATATAGTTTTCAAAAGGCTAATTTAAATCAACTCAGATTCATCTCTGATTACAATCTTCTGCAAAAATAGTAAGTTTTTTTAATTGTGTTCCATTTTTTACTAGTACTCTAAGCATTTTAGTATGCAAGGCTTTAAGCATAAACATGAAAAGTTTTCTAACAGCTGGTCTATTAAATGTAATGACAAGGATGACAGAAAATGTGTCTACAAGGAGAATATAGAGTGACCCCTGGTTCTCTGCAGTTTCTGCATACTGAACAACATGTTTATTTAAAATATAGAATTCTCCTTGCAACTTTTTTCACAGAAATGTTTTATTTAAAAGTCATCATTTGGCTGTCCAGTTACTCCTGACCTCAATCCAGAGAGCAAAAATGATTTCTTGATATTTTCAACAAACAAATTTTATAGTGGTGATACTTCGGCAGTAATTGCTTTTAGCTCATCCTCATACTCATCTTTCATCATACCACTTCCCTGTGGTTCCCAGGACTGGATTTCACATCTGTTCCCCAGCTCTGGGAATATCACTGAAGGTTGTCAAACCACCACAAACAGAACTGGACTAGGTGAGAGGAGAAACTCACTTCACAACTTTGTTGCAGCAATCTTAAGTGTTAGTTAATGGTACCAATATTAATAACATATCTCCTAAGAAAAATAAGAAGGGGAGGTATTTTTTACAATCATTTTTATCTAACTGGGCATATAGAGCCCAAACACTTGTCAGAAATCTCCTCCTCCCCCTTAGAGAAACATGGTAGTTGTTAAAAATAGCATCTGACCACCTAAACTCTCGGCCTTTGCTTCTCTCCCACCATTTCAGTAACCAACAGTGTGATTTAAAGGATCTCTATCTGGATTTTTAGTTAGGCCCCACTGCAGGCTCAGCAGGCTCAGGACACTAGCATGGTGTGCCATGTGCTTAAAAAATTTCTTCAAACTGGAAATTAACTTTGCACTGAAAAAGAAACTAAAAGTCTTACTGGATAATAAGATGCAGCCCAGTTTTCAGATTAGAATTTATGATCCTCACCATTTAATTTAACATATGTAAATATTGTTTAAAATAATATTTTATAATCTCAATAAGGCAGTGACAGTGCATGAATTATGGTGCATTAATTCATGCTAGTTGCACTGACAGTATTTGGCCTTCTGCCTTGCTCCTGACAATAGAGTCAGCATGAATAAAGGCACCATATTTCACACCTTCATATTTCCTAAGGTTTAGAAGGTTTAGATAAAAATAACCAAGAGTAGGTATTTGTGCCCATCTAGAACAGCCTGTGATTCACTTTGCTGCAACTCATAGATTTGTTTTCGGTGTCAAGAGTACTAGGATGTATCAGATATAGAAAAATGATCTTGCTTTTGATAGTAATAATTATAACTAAGCTGAAGTCACTCCAGTTAGCTTTATCCTGAGAGCTTTGGTACTGATGGGCAGACGTACTGCCCCAGTACCAGTCTCTGCCCCAGCTCCCTGACCCATAACTCACTGGTTAGGCTCTGTAGCAGGACACTGGTGGTGTTTTGAGCTGCTCTCATGACTCTGTCCTCTTCAGATCACTGAGCTGATGTCTTCAAATAAGTAGAGTACAATTGTTATGCTGCCACAGAGATGTAAAAGGAAAAACAAGTTGACTCTGATGCTCTTCTCTTCTGTTTTAGTACAAGTCCTGCACATAAATATTACTTGGCCGTTGATCCAGTATCAGAATCCCTTTACTTATCAGATACCAACACCAGAAAAGTCTACAAAGCAAAATCCCTCACTGAAACAAAGGATCTGGCCAAAAATGCAGATGTGGTGGCAGGAACAGGTGATCAGTGCCTTCCTTTTGACCAAAGTCACTGTGGGGATGGTGGAAAGGCATCCGAGGCCTCTCTCAACAGCCCAAGAGGTAAGAAAAGACCATATCTGGAGTACTTAGTGTTGGTCACCTGTCATTTCCTTTCATTATTTAGGAACTCAGATGTAATTGGATGTACAAAAATGTGTCAGTGGTAATGATTTAACCAGCTATCAAGCCAGATCACTTCATGAGGCTTACTCATGTCTGCAGTACAACCAGTCCTTTATGAGGGACCAGCATGGGCAGCAGGCTCGGGCTTGAGTCCTCTGATTACTCTTCTCTGTATGACAACACTCCTCTTTCATTACCTTTCAATTGCAAGGTGGCAACATTTAAATATATGTAACTCTTAAGCAATGAGCATATGGTTTCAAGGTCCATATTTTAGATTTTATGCATCAGGTGAGTGTTGTAATGTTAACAGAGCTTACTCATACACATTAAGTCAGGGCTGTTCAAATCAGCCAGCAAAATCGAGTTTATTCAGAAATCTAGTTTGTCCTTTCTTATTAACACACTTTGCAAAAGATGAGCATCTCCCTGCTGCATATCCCTGTCAGAGTACATCCAGTATTGTCACAGGCAAAATGCATGTGAAGCCTTGAATCCCCACCAAAGCCACAATTAATCCCCTTGCAGTGTGCACTAGAACTGTGATAAAGACTCTGGATTTGGTGCTCTAAAGCAGCTGATCACCTTCAGCTCCCACTGCAATCCCTGGAACAAAGGGTACTCAGCAGCTCCCAGGGCAGAGCCCTGCGTGGGCTGTGCTGTGCTTCCCCCGTGCCTGCTCACGGCTTGCTCAAAGGAAGGGGTTTGATTATTTTTCGTGAGCTAATAAAGGAAGGCTGTACATCAGTAGGAAATTAGAATGTATATCCAGGCAGAAATACCTCTAAGACAAGCAAATAATCCTGGTTTTAGATTTAGAAAGAGGCACGTTGTAATTTTAGAGTGACTTTAGCATGTCTTTAATGATAGAAGGTAAGTGTGAGGTAAGTACAAATAAACGTTAATCTTCAGGCAGCTAATTAATGTAATGAATCGCTTCTAAAAATACTAGAAAACAAAGGTTTTCAGTTCCTTTATCAGGAAAGTGTGATTCTGTGAAAGTGATCAATGTTTTATTTCTGGTTACAATTGATTATATCAAATTACAATACAATCCGTTGTTCCATCTTATTTTCTTAGTAGGGAAATATGTTGATGAAAATGTGATACACTGTTTACTTTAAAGATACTCATACTTCTTTAATAGAAGGTTCTAGTCATAAAGAAATGAGGAGAAATAAAGGATGAACATGAGGATTTTTTGCACAGACAGCAATTACTAAAAGGAAATTGTCAGCAATGACTCTTCTATTGGCAAATTCAGGCCATGATTCTCAGGTGCTTTAGGTTTATGTGTCTCCTCTAAATAACACCAGTTTGAAATGATCCAGTTTGTTATATTTTTTATTTTAATCTCGAGGAAGTCTGGACTGCCACATGCCCTTTTTGTACAGAGCCTAACAAAATGCAGCATCAGCTCGTGGTCCCCAGCAGTATAATCAATGCAGCACCCTAACAGCCTAGTAGTTACAGGTCCTTTTTTTCCCCTGAACTATAAGAGGTTGAATAACCCTGGAAAGTAGAAGGAAGTGTTTGTCTGGTACACAAAGATCTTTATTAAGAAACAGCGATGTCTCAGTTTTAGAGATTCTTTTGGATCACCTTTTTTGCTTGTTCTTGAAATACTTGTCAAGACGGAAGATGTCATATTTCTGTTGAAATAACATTCAAACAGTATAAAGAAAACTATTTTCTCTAGGAAGCAGGAAATTTTGACAAAAACTTCTTAACCATGTTTAAAAATCCTTGGGCACACAGACACACAGTGTTATATAGCATTTGACCACAGAAATAAATGAATTGTTTCTGGTTTCATACCTCTGAGATTTTTACAGTGTAACAAAAGGGCCTGGACAAAGACAGAATAATTGCCAAGTTATGATTAAATATAATCAATTGCATTATTCAGTGAATAATTTGTATTTACTTTTTAAGCTGATACAGGTATATTATTAGGATTTTTTTACTTTGCTTGCCTACTTGTTTTTGTCCTGAGTATTCATTTTTCCCATTATAAAAATAAATTTCCCCCTTACTTGATAGGAAGATAATATGTGAAATAGGACTCCATTTAGTGGTTGTCTGACGTTGGTTAGTTTTATCTTAAAAGTTGGACTCTAATTTTTGCTACTAGCTGCTTGTAACTGAATAACGGCTTATCTGTTTAGCCATTTGTAAAATTGGTACGAAATTCCTACTGTGTAACACTTGTGAAACTTAATCCTGTTTGGTAACATCCTCAAAGGTATGTTAATAGGTGGAAATTCAAATTCTCTTTCTTACTTACTTTTCTGGATGAAAGTTGCTTTGAATAATGCTTTGACTTTTCTGAACTCATACCCATTTTTCTACTTCCTTGAACATGCTGGGAAAGTCCTAGATTGTTTTGTAATTTTTTAAGTCTCTCATGAATGTTTATTTCTCGTTATCTTTATTTGGCAAGACTGCCTTTGCCTAGTGACCAGGAATTAAATGCCAGACAGGAAAATATCATGAAGTGACACTGATCAATTCTGATTTCATCTTTCCACAACTTTCATTTTACAGTTAGCAAACACATGTAGCTTTGTTCAGTCTGTTCCCAGTTCTCTGTGAAAGACTAGAGACGGGGCTTAGTGAATATTAATCTTAGAGTATTGTATGTTGAGCTGACTTTGAAAGATGCTTTTAAACATGCATGGCTGATGTAGTTGAAATTTGAACTTCAATATATTATTTTTACTGCAACTTTCTTTAATTCTGCAGAGATCTCAGACTAATGAGTCATGTAATAGATGACCAAGTACTTAAGCAGAATGTGAAATGATACAAGGTGGGGACATAAAATAAGATCTGTGACAAGCTGAACACATTTATTACAGAAGAAGATATTGAAAATGAAGAAGTAACTACACAAAATATTAATCATTGACTGAATTCCAATCACTTGAACTTTACCAAGATTTACAAGAGATTTTAATTTTGGGGTGGGGAATTCTGTTTGGTGGGCTTGGAGATTTTTTAAATAAAAATTATTTATGGCACATCTGTCACCAGCACTATCTTTTAAACAATCTGCTTAGTACTTATGACAAAGTAGTTGAAGATCATGTTCTGTTTTTAACTAGATTAGTCATCAAGTATTGGAGCAGTAAGAAGCACTAAAATGAGTGGAAATACTTGGGACTTATACTTAGCCCTGCAAAGCCAATACTTGAATCAACACCATTAAACACTTACCTACCCTGCCCTTCTGAAGTCAGTGGGCTTTAGACCTGCAAATAGATTTTGCTTTCTAAGTATAATTGACAGAGGCAGTGAGAGTTTGAGACAATCAAATTACCACATTTTGCTGAGCTCCAGTGTCTCCCAGGCAGTAGGGTAAGAAAAGTGTCTGATCAACATCTGATTTCCATTACCTTGTGTCTGTGACCAGCATTAAGACAGGACAGCTCTCCTGGAAATGCAAGCTGTGTAACTTCTGTGAAAACAGTAGGTCCCTCCAGTGATTCCACCCTAAACATCAGAAGTGATTTACACGTTTTCTAAATCCAAGGACTAAATCTAAAGATGAAAACATTTAAGGTCCTGCAATGTCTGTTTCTTCATTCCTGGGTCCAGACCAGCATCTCAAACTAGATGCACACACTGTCTGTGCAAGTCATGTCAGAGCCTTGAGAAATTTGACTGCACACTGAGTACAGAGTATTTGGATACAGTGCAGTGACCTCACTGAAGATGCAGTGACCTCGAAGCACCAGGGAAATAGAGAAGGTTGAAGTTCTAAGTCCCATGCACAGAAGTACTTTATCCACAGCTGTAGGAAAGAACTCTTCTGCTCAGACCAACGGCCATGAGATAGAAACACAAATGAAAGCATAATATAAAAATAGGTTCAGCAGTATAGTTTTATATATTTTGCTTGCAGTTACTTTACTAAGGAAATACTACTTTAAAAAATCATGGTTTGGAGATGTGTTCATCCTAGTAGCTTGCATCCTGAAATAATCAGTATTTTAGCTCCTCATCCTCAGCAATACATTCTAGAGTAAATAAAGTTGTAACAGCTGCTCAGACTAAACCTTTACGCTTTCCAAATGGCAGTAGCCCATTTTTAGGACTGCTCCTGTTCAGCTAGAAGACTCCTTTTATTTTCAGTAGGATGCACAACCAAATTCTTATTGTAGCCTTTTGTAACAACAGACACATTTGGTAATGATTAATGCTATTTTTCCGGCAATCTTTGCTATTCTGTAAATTCCTAAGACCATAGAATTCAAAAAGGAAAGTAGAATGGGCTCAGATATTTCATTAGCAATATATAAAGCAAGAAATAGACATGCCAAAGTCATTTGCAGTCTCAATTCATTGTTATATATGCATCATAAAATCAGCAAAAAATATATAATTTCATGCCTTATTTTTCTCTTCAGTAGCCTGAGCTACCTATGATTTCCAAAGTATGGGAAAACTGTAGAATGTTGTAAACTTTTTGGACAGCAGGTTTTTCCTAAATTTCATCCAACATTCATCTGAACTCATAAACCATTTGCTTTTCTATTCACTCATGTCAGCAGGATGACCCCAGTCATCATGTCTCAGGCTGGAAGATGAACATTTTCATTCACAGTTAGTAGTTAAAAACTGCTCCAAGTCTACCAATCTGCCTCTAAAGAGAGCAACACTCAAGTGCAAGTACTGAAGTCATGTTCCAGCTGACAAAGAACTACTGAATATTTTGCAGCTAGTGCTGAGACAGTAAGGAAGTAAAGATGACAAAGATCACAAGGCAACGGACTGCAAATCACTTGAATCATATTTTGAGTGGTGTATTATGGTAACCTATAAATAACTAATTGCATAAAATTGCTTTAGTTCCTAGATGGCAGCTTTAATTAAAAGCACCGAAGACATTTAGAAGTTTAGAAATGGATGGCATGTAATTTGCCCTTTTAGCACCATAAAATGGTAATTAACCAATTTGATTCACTTCTTCCTATTAAAAGTTTTATGAGAATCTCAAGTTCCTTCTAAATACAGTTGTTCTTCAGCAGAAGGTGGCATTCTCTTTCATCCATCCTCACTGGTAGTTGTAGATGTTGTTTTAAAATTTCTTCAGAAGTTTAATTAGAAGTTTTCAATATAGAATGCTCATTTGTAAGTTTTTAGCTGAGCAAAAAGCACAAAGTAGAATTTCTAGAAGAGGGCAACATGTAGTTCTAGCTGCTCTTTATCAGCATGTTTGAAAAGGATTTGTTCCCAAAAAAAGCTTCTCTTAGAATGCAAATGTGGGATATGATATGGGGTAAAAAAGAAAATATTTTAGGGAATTTACTATATTACTTTTAATCTAAAACTATCTACTATTAATCTACTTTTAAGTTAAACTCTAAGTTTAACTCAAGAAATGCCAAAATTTCTGGACTGAATGACATATGTATTTTGAATTTATACCTATGATAACTGCACAAAAAGCAATCAGTTGCTTTCTGAGTGCTATTTGCTTTTATAATGGTATATGTATGTGCACTAAGGCAGAGCTGTCAAGGGAAATAACTCCTTAACCAAAACCACTCTGGAGAGCAAATAACAGGAGAGGTTATAGTCATCCTTCTGTGTTTATCATGGATGTACCCAGCCTCTGTACTAATTATTATTTTTTGAAGAAAACAGTTATAAAAAGGAAAACTTTGTGTGTACTTCTAGTAATAATATTTAGTCACTACATTTGACAGCATTACCGGCAATTAATTTTTAATGTTAGTTAACAGAATTCAAATGGTACTGATTAAAAGACCTCTGAGTGTTAAAAATATTGTTCCAAAATGTCTGCATGTAAATCCACTGGAAACAGATCTTCATAAAAACTACTGTTTCATGTTCAGGTACAAAATTCAGCCCTGTGTAGGACATTCCCAGTGACTAAAATATGACCAAAACCAGTCCTCCAGCACAAGCATGTCGCTCAGCGAGACTGATACTCAGCTCTGAGACTAAATCCTGGCACAGATTTATTTTGTCCTTACCCAGATAAAAGTTCTTAAGGAGAAATCTGTATGTAAGAAGGGTAAGTCTGTCATTTGTACAATAGGTCATAGGTCCCTTTAGTGCCCAAAGACATCATCAGTTGGGCACAGAATTTAGTGCTACAGTTCCTTAAAAGAAAAACAGAATCAGACAGAGAGTCTAATGCAAACTACATCTTCTTCTCTGAAAGGAAAAAGATTAAAAAAAAAAAAAAATGTACCTTTCTTATTCACTCATGGGGTGAGGAGTGCTCCCACTTGCACTCAAGTGCAATTCATTACCCTCAGCATGTGCATGCTTCCTCCCCCAGTTCCATGGTGATTAAATCACAATTGCTGTGCTGTGTGTGATTAGATTTTGCATTACACTGTACATCAGAAAAGGATTAAAAATAAGCTCTTGGAGTACAGATTACATGTAGCATCATGTAAGATGTGACAGGAGCATTAATGAATCCAACTCTAATGAATAAATTGGGACAGTTTAGCCACAAATCTGTATTGTTTTCCAGTGAATGCTTTATGTAGAGTATTTGTCAACAAGACTTAAATGCATAAATAATTTTTTCAAGTAGGTAAAGTCATGTTGTTTTACCGCAGAGCCATGAGCTCTGGAAGCAATAGATCTTTGCTGAACATCTATACACTCACTGGTACTTGAAGAAACTGGCTTATTAGGAAGTACCAGGAATTTAATGCAAATACTGAAGACATGAGCTAATTTATGCTATTGCACTGGCATATGTCCTTCCCTTGCAGCCAGGTTACTTTTCTGTGGTGGCTGGAGAGCAACATGAATGCTAGAAACATTAAAAGATCCTTGGTTTTCTTATATAGTCAGTGTTTGAAATCCATTCAGCAACACAGCTGAGTAGCTTTATTTCATTGCAGCATAATTTTTGATTTTTATATAATGGATGGTTTGCAGCCAACACAGCCATCTGTTCTCAGGGAAATTGCGCAAAACAGAAGATGCACTTGCCCTAGTGACAGATCCTGGCCTTGTGTTATCTGTGGTGTGGATCTGATCCAGCTGAGAAACAAAGCTCCTCACTTACCATGCAGCACCTTCCCTCTGCAAAGGCAGGCTCAGGCACAGCCCATGTGCTGCCCTTCCCACACACATCAGGTTTCTCATTTCCGCTTGTGAACCACACTGGAAAGCAAATCAGATCCCATCTAATATTGCTACATTATGCAGTATCAGTGAGATGGAGGTACAGTGGACCATCCCTTCCCAAAACTGGAACACACAAGTCACCCCTGACACCAAAACAAACCTCTTGGCTCCTCAGACTCGCTCTTTACCTCAGCTCACCTTCAGACTTTTGGGTTTGGACTTGTTAGGAGCAGATGACAGCCAGGAGCTTAACAGTCATTCTGGAGTTTCCAAAAGCACAGTTACTTTCTAAATAAAGACTGAAGATCCTCTAAGGGTACCAAGGAGTCACAATTTATGAGCTTGCAGGCAGGGAGTCAGGCTCTGAGACTGTCTGCTCCTCCTTTAGCCTTTTTATAACCTCCCAATTTTTCCCAGCTGACCCATCCAGCCCCCACTAGATTATTTCAGTTCCCCAGGTGACATCTGTCTTGCAGAGCTTTCAGCCACCTCACATTATGAGGAGATGTAACCTAGCCCTGTACCTTGGGCACTTAGCAGTCCATGGGCACTTTTTGTCCTGGGTAGAGGAGTTGACAGGATGGTGAGTACCCTCTTCTAAGGGCAGTTCACAGCCAGATGGATACACTTCATTGGCAATTTAAAGAATTAGTTTCAACTCCCAACACTGTGCTGATAACCGGAGAGCTGGATGCAGTAGGGAGTGTTGCACGCTAAAGTTAACTGCTGTGGCTCTTGGATTTTTTTATGTGATGATACCCTTAGAACTTTGTAATCATACTCTCAGACCTTTGCAAGGTGCCTGAGCATCACCTGTGGTGAAGAGGTACCTCAGAAGCAGTCATGGGCAGTTTGCCCTGGGAGCCTGCCCCCCGGTGTTAACACTGCAGGAGAAGGCATATTACACTCTGTTGTGTGTGCAACTCAAACTCAATCCCCAGGCATTTCCAGCTGCCAAGTAGATGTTTAGGGTTTGGGGAGCCCATCCTCCTTTCTTCCCAGCCCCATGGGAGATGCATGTCCTCCATCAGGGTTTCCACGTCCTGCCTCTGCCCCCCAGACTGCTTAATCTCTTTCCTCCAGCTGTAACTGCTACTATATATTAAACAAAAAAACGTTAAATATAAGGAGCTGGGGTTGGAAGCTGAGGAAATTTAGTTTTAGGCTATTTTTCTTTTTTAATGGCATGTGAAATTGCTGTGTGGGATCCTAAACTGGCCTGCAGACAAGTGTTTTGTAGACTTACAGTACATGCAGCCTTCAGTTGTGCTAAATACAGGGGACAAAAATCAAGAACCATATAAGCCACTGTCCAGACCATCTGTTCGAGTCCTCTGCCTTTCATTTCTGTGTAGCAGAACATAAATTCATTATTAAAATAGCTTGGCTGTGCACAGCAGCTGCTATAATTGCAAAGTTATGCAACTTTAAGTGGGAAATTATGAAGTAGTTCAAAGCAAGAAATTGAGCAGTTTTGGTAGAAAGGATTTCACAAGTCTAACATGAATAGAAGTGCTCTTCTAGTTATATTTTCAATATTTGAGGGAAATAAGATCTTACAGTTCAAATTGAATGCAGGAAGAACTGTAGGGGAGCTGTTAGACTGGGGCAGAACAAAGCTGGGCATGAGTTGTGGTGTAAGCTGCTTGTGGGAGACAGTAAACCTTCCATTCCTCAGTTTCCCCACTGAAATACAGAGGACCATGATCTTTCCTGTGCACAGCCCTGGCATTTGATTTCCATCCCTCAAGTGCAGTGCAGTGCTGCAGGAGCTGTTGCAGATCCAGGAGTAGGAGAACTGCCCCATCTCCTGCTGGTGACCACAGCTGTCATGAGCCTGGTTCCAGTGCAGGACCATCATTTTGGGCAGCACTGCACTGTGATACATACTGCAGCACAGCTGCTCCTTCTGCCTGCTGAGCAGAGCCTGGTCTGCACCATTTGTATGTACAGCCCCTATCAGAATAGGTCTCTTTGGCCTTCTGTGGATACTTCTTCCTTGCTCAGACACTCTCATCATTCAGTGTATAGCAATTAAAAAATTGTCTCTGCATAAGAATGAAGAAAGTGAAATGAAAATGAAGAAAAATCAACTGTAAGATAAGTTTTTAGAAAAGCTAATATTGCTCACTTTGTGATAGATGTGAAGTTATTGAAGAGCCTTGTTCTAAGTATGTAAAATTATATTGAAAGCAAAGCCTTTGCTGTTTTGTTTTGTTTCATCCTCACATCTTCCCTCTTTAAGTCTAAGCAAATCTGATAGATAGGTATTGAACTTTCCTTATACAGTTTGTATAAGCCTCAAATAGTAATGGGTGGGGGAAATAATGTCATACTTCTTTAAATCAGCAGATTCTCATAGTCTAAGAGAGGAAATATTTTAAGCTCATACTTTTTAATCAAGATAATGCCAGTACTAACACTCTTTTTACCCTTACCCTTCTTCCAGGTATCACTGTAGATAAGTACGGATTTATTTACTTTGTTGATGGTACAATGATACGGAAAATTGATGAGAACGGTGTGATCACAACAATAATAGGTTCAAATGGCCTCACATCAACCCAGCCATTGAGCTGTGACTCTGGGATGGACATCACTCAGGTAGACACCTCGTTTTTATGTGTTGTCACTTCGATACACATTGTTGAGACAGATTACTTACCTTCTTGTACCAAGATTATATATCGAGTATACTGGATGAGTCATATAATTCTGAATGGCACAGTATGGAGTAGTTCTTCACTCATATGATTATTTTAAGGTGTATAAATGTAAGATCACGCATGATTTTTTTCCCAGGAGATGGCCTCTGAATGTATAGAGGGTCTTATACAAAGAATACAAACTTCTTTAAAAAGTTGCTTGCTACTCTGAGATAGATCTTCTAAGAAGATAATTAGAAGTTTAAAGTGCTTTCCTTTAGTCCAGAATTCAGACTTATTTTCTTGAACTAGAAAATGGAAAAAAATAGATATTTTGTTTAGATCTAAATCTGTTCTGAGTCATGGAGGAGCATTAGAGTAAGTGATTACACAACAGCAATATTGTGATGAAACTATTGCATTTCAATTTCTCAAAATGCTTTCCAGTTCTTGTGTCAAGAGCAATGAAATAGGAATAGTAAAATAAGAATAAAAGAACTTGCCACATCTCTAGTTTATGCTAAAAAAGAAATATGGATAATCTTGGAGAAACACAAATGGTACTCTTGAATAGTCAGTGAGCCACACCTACAGACTGCACAAGGAAGGACTTGGCCTTTGCCAAGAAATAATTGAATTAATCAGCTTCAAAACAGGGGAGAAGCTGTACTTGAAAAAATCATGAGGCAGTCAAATGATATACTAAACTATAATGGACTGTGGCAGCTAATAACCAGGATCAGGTTAATTTTGCATTTCATTTTCTCCCTACCCTCTCCTACGTCCTTTGCAACTGGAGAATCATAGTTAAAATACAATGCATAACAATGGTAAGAGCTTGTTGCTTGTTTCTAAGTAGATTTTAAGTAATAGGAAATGACTGTGGTCTTGCATTCACATACCTGAAGAACATGGGGTCAGTGTTTTGGTTAGTTCTTATCAAATATCACAGGTCAAATGAAGGGATCTAATGCTGCTGTTGTAGAAGCTCTCAGAGATTTTATTACTAGAATCAGAACAGGAAAAGTGTCTGTGTTCCATTTCACATGCTATCGAATCACAGCATTCTTACGGCTGGAGGGGGTAAGATCTCTGGAGATCGCCCAATCCAATCCCCCTGCCAAGGCAGAGTTACCTGGGGCAGGTGACACAGGAATGCACCCAGAGGGTTTGGATGTCTCCAGAGATGGAGACTCCGTGACCTCCCTGGGTAGCTGTTCCAGTGTTCTGCCATGCTCAACTTAAAGAACTTCTTCCTCATGCTGAAATGAAACTTCTTTTGATCTTGTGTGTTTAGTGTTTCAGTGGACCCTCTGTGTTTGCAAATGCAGGGAGGAGAACCTCAGCCTGCCTGTTCCCAGTTCTAAGACAGGCCTTTGTACTCTCTCAGGTCCAGTTGATGTGTAATTATGCCATACAAAGAGGAACAGGGTCAACTGGCTTAGTTGTGCTAAACCCAAACTTAAATTAGCCTGGCAATTGTTTTAAGATTATAGAGCTTCTGGGTACCTTGTCTCTTGCTCTGGCCCCTTGCCTTGAGGCCAGCCAGTCGTGCAGGTGCAGAGCAGCAGCTGACAGCCAGCAGCATTCCCACTCCACTGCTGCCCACCAGCTGGCAGGAGCAGTGCTTCATGGAACCCACAGCTGCCTGGAGCACATTCACTTGCTTCTTGGATACATCTAACAACTGCCTGGGGCACCCATAACCAGATTAGGTATCTCTGAGGTCATGGAAGGGTGCCAGGTGCAGCGTCTGCTCCCTGCCTTCTCCTTCTGGATCTGCGCTCTCAGGCTGTAGAAATAATTGCTTTATTTGCCTAATGTAATATGTGCTGTGTATTTGTGTTCAAATTTTTGCTGATTTTTCTCAATAAGAAAATGTCTCACTAAATCTCAAATAGGGAGTTTTAATAGTTTTCATTTCCTTTTGAAAAATGCGACTACCCGTTTGCAAATAAGTATCAGCAGAGGGTCTGACAAATTTAGAAATAAAATTATTTATTTATTAAATTAAAACTAAATTTGAAAAGTGAACATTTTGGGCTGAAATCAAATGTGCTAAATTTGTAAAGTAGATTTAAATAGCCCTAAAATCTTAGTTCTTCATAGGTTAGCTACTTGCCAGAAACAAGTTTCACATACCTCACCCTTCAACATAGTTTCAATGCCATGGAGGATGGGCTTCTGCAAAGTCATAGGTAAGAAAGATGTCACAGAGCAAATCATTCTTCATACATATGGGGTATGGTCTCCTTTTCATAGAAGCAGGAATAAGCACTTCTTTTTTCCATTAACACTTCAGGTGTTTCCATACTGCAGCATCTACAGGAAAATATGGCTGCACATTTCTTAAATTTTTTCAATTTTGTCAGTGTTCTGTGAAACTAAGACATGGTCTTACCCATAAATTGAGATAGTCTTCAATTAAATTGTGAATGCATGACAGTAAATATTCTAAAAAACATAATAAATTACAGCATATAAACATGTCCCTAAAAAGTTGCCAGTCTCATTTTCTAAGGGTAGCAATACTATATAATTTTCTGTATATTTTTCACTGATAAGTGAAGTCTCAATGTGGACACTATGCAACCTAAAGCCTTTGGAAGCATTTCTTGTTTGGAGGATTTGTTTTGAGGGGGTTTAAGTAAACCCCTTTATTGAAAAATTTCACAAAGTCCACACCTTTTGAGGTATTTCACATACAAAGTAAATCGTAGGCATGAAATAAATACCAAGAATACAAGTTCTGAAAAGTATAAAATTTTCTCAGTCATCTTCTTCCAGAATTGTTGCTGATAACCAGAAAAGCCTATGAAATAATCACGTCCCCTTGAAGTCAAGCATGTTAATCTGGAATAATAACAATGAAAATAATGGAAAGATATTTTCACATAGAAACAAGGGTATATCCTCGCAAGACTGCTGAGTTTATTCCAGAATGGCATAAACATGAATGAAAAATGAATTTGGCCCATCTCCACTTAAATTAGTTTTTGGCTAAGTTACAAATGGCATTTAAATCAAGAGAATGTGGGTTGCTCACAAATTGTATATTTAGAGAGACTTATGAAATAGGTTAATAAAATCATTTCTCAAAGCTAAATTTGTTCTGACAGTAAAATCAACAACTTGCCCAAAATCAGTATTTCTTAATTAACTGAAGTATAAAAATGTACTCTTGGAATAAATATGTGGAGTAACTGTCCATTGCAAACACCACAATGAATGACAAGCTTTGACTTTAGGACATTCACTTTAATAAATTAGTTGATTATGAAAGGGTTTAATCATTTGTTCCAATATCAGTTTTCATGGTATTATTCTTGGTAATTGTTACGTGTTTATTATTTACCGCCTTCCCCTTCTTAAGCATAATATTCTGCACTCATAATCAGGGGAGGAAAGGACAGATGGGGCTGAAAAGATTGTATGTTGTGGCAAATAAACGAACATGCTCTGACTAATTACTTTGATCTTATACTTTACTGAGGGAATTTTAATCTGAATTTAGAAGGAAAGGGATACTCAGTTAAAGTGTTAATATGGTATACCAGCATTCTCATTGTTTCAGCCTGTTCAGAACTTGGATAACTTTTCTTCTCTGCACAGATCACTTCAGTGTTCCTCAATTAGTTAATAGATAGAGCAAATCTAAAGAAAATGGCTCTTCAGAGCTATGCATGTGAAAATCTGTGTGTATGTGCTCAACACTCGCTATTGATGCCAGGACCTCAGCAGACACCTACATGGTCATGAGCCACAACAGGAGTGCCAAGGGAAAGGACTGGAGTTGGAGAGAAAAAAAAAGAGATGGGATCATCATTCTGTTTCACTGCCTGATGGCTTTGGCATCTTCTCTAGACCAGAGACCTCTCTACATTGCTTTTTATCTCACATGTACACACTCTCTTTGTGTTTGCACATCCCTAAGGTGCACTGACATTTTTTAGTTTTGTTAGTGGTAGTAGATGAGAACACATTGTGTGGGTATATGTCTGTCTGTCTGCCTGTCAGTATTCTTCTCCTCACAGTAAATTAAAAGCTTGGGCCAATTTCAAACAAATTTGTAGAGAAACACCTGCCTTCAGCAATTAAATTCCTACATGTTCCATAAAAAATATTAATCCAGTTGGAGAACAGAAACCTAAAGTCCCCTTTCAAAAGGAAATATTGTAGCATAAGCTTTCTTTTATTAAACTCCAGAGATTCTACTCAGGATGTAATAAATGCCCCATTCACAGGAAAACTTCATTTTGCGCTTGGATCTTATTAAACTCTGAAGTCAGTCAGCCATGCGACAGAAGTCCTTAGGAAACCAGACTTCATCAGATCCAGTGTTCTTGCAAGTTATATTGACGTTGTGGGAGTTTTTGTGTGAAAGTAAAAACACTACAGCTCATCTTGAGTGATAAGCTTTGCTGTTCTGCTTCCATTGCTACAGTGAAAGCTGAGGAGAGAATTAGCAGATATTTCTACCATCTTGCAATTTCATCCTGTATCTTTCCTCCCATGAGAAATATGTGGGCTGAATTTCCACTGCTCCAAACCACAAGTCATTTATATCTGTGTGAGTGGCTGCAGGTATTATTTGGGAGCTGTTTAATCCAATCTCGAGCACAGTCACTGCAAATACAGAGACCAAATATTTGCAAGTCAACAGAAAATGAATCCCAAGAGCTTTTTTTTCGCCTGTAACCATGGCCTTGTTCTTGTACTTATGTCAGTCCCACTAGGCATGAGTCTGTGCCAAAGCAGTAGCTCTGACCTGATTGATGGTGTTAATAACTGTCACTGCCGTGTTCCGAAATGAAAGGTCTGGTTTGAAGACTTTTTCTTGACATTTGCACTTCATCAGCCTTTGTTCAGCAGTTCTCCATGTGAGGGAACCATCTATATTGTGTTGCCTCACATAAACTTCAGTGACACTGCAAAATGTTTTGCTCCCTTATAAAAATG